GCAAGAGACCAACAAGGTACTGTGACAAATTACCACACACTGGATGACTTAAAACAAAATTTTATTTTCTCACGAGTCTCTCTAGTCTAGAGACTAGACATCCTAAATTAAAATTCCAATTGGGAGCCTTTCTGGTAGCTCAAGGGGTTAAGCACAGCACTGTGAATCTATACACAGCCTCTGCAGCACAGGCTGACCAGGGAGCTACCCACATGGCACAGCAGACCCCTCCTGTCTGGCCCGCTGCTCCCCTCAGCACTGTATTTCAGTTAATCCACCTGTTCTATTTCCCATTCTGTCTCTGGTGAGTCCTCTCACTCCCCACACCTTTAGCCTGTACCCCAGTTCTTGTATACATAAATAAAATAAATCTTTAAAAAAAAATACCAATTGTGCGTGTCCTCTTGGAAGATACTCTCTTTCTTACCTTCTGGTGGTCCCTGGCCATCTGGGTATTTCCTGGCTTGTTAAAGCATCACTCCAATCTCACCCTCTGTAGTCACATGTCATTCTCTCCGTGTCATCAACATCATCTTCCTTCTTTGTGTCTCCACTCTTCTTATGAGGACACACATCGTAATGAACAAAGGGCCTACTCTATCCCACACTGTCTTACTTAAGTACATCTGTAAAGACCTTATTTCCAAATAAGTTCACATTCTGAGGTTCAGGAAAGGACATGAATGTTAGAGAAACACTATTCAACCCAGGACAGTAACTGAAAATTTCAAGAACTACATATTAGAGCAAAATAGGCACATGGTTCAATAGAACAGATCATTCAGAAATCTATACATTTAGTGTAGAATAAAGATGATTAAAAAATCAGGTTGGTAATTGACTTTATGTCAAAAAAAAAGGAAAATAAATTTGAAGTCTTTTTTCCAAATGTGCACAAAAATAAATTTTATATAAATGAAAGAGAAAGGATCTAAAAACAAAACCATACAATATTAGAAAGTTAATATATGCAATGCCGATAAAGAAAAGACTTTTCAAACAATGAAATGAATGCAACATTAAACAAAAAGCCACAAACTTGCAGGAAATCTTGCACAGGAAATACACACATACACACAAACACACACATCTATCTAATAGTCATCCTTACCAATAAACAAAAAAAAACCCAAAGTATATAAACTATTAGTTTGATAAATTCAGACAATTCAGTTATTATAGCTAACTAGAGGAAAAAGACACCTGCATGTTAGCAGGAAGAGTAAAGTGCAATAACTCAAAATGAATACTTTGAGTACCATCATTTCAACAAATCTGTCTCTCAAAAAAAGGAACCATTAATATGTTTCATGGAAAGAAATGATAAAAAAAGGAACTAATAACCACTAAAAAGAATAAAACATAGTGGGGTAGAAGGACATGGAAAGATTTCCAAAGTACATTGTTAAATGAGAAAAAACATTATGTCTACATTATGTCAATTGGATCAGAAAATAGTTAAAAGTATTATAAATACCATGATCCTAGTTGCTTAAAATAAGAATATATGTATAAAATTAGAGAAATAGATATCTAATTTTATAGAAACAGAACTATAGATTTATACACATGATTTTACCTCTGATAGAAAACTTCCCAAGTCCTTATTTATTTTGATACAGACACATCCATATCTGGGTCTCTAATTACAAAGATATATTACTTTTCCAAAATATTTATTTAAGAAAACACAACTTTTAAAGAAAGATTATATATAAGCAATACAAATGAAAATGAGGGCTGTCCAATCAATGCTATATCACAAAAATAGAAATAAATGGAGAGATTAGAAAGATCCTTATTGACTTTGCAGAAATGAAAAGAAGTGCTCATTAAAACAGTCATTAAATAAATATTAACTTAATTTCCTATATTAATAATAAATAATATGAAAGAACAAGATAGTTGCTCAAATTATACTGAAAGAACAAAATCAAGTTCTTTTCACATTGCATTTAGCAATGCAGCTTCAAAATGCATGAACTTATCATTAGTTATACCTGGCAAGGACCTAAGAAAATGCTTGCTTTAGTTTAAATTGTATTATTTTTTATTGGTGTGACATTGATTTACTATACCATATATGACTTAGGTGTACAGGTTCACACCTCTTCAGATATATGGTACCACACCACACCCACCATCAAATTACTAATTATCCTCCACCATAGCCCCATGGGCCTCTTCACCCACTTCTCCCCAGCCCCCACTAGTAGCCACAATTCTGCAGTCTGATTTCTAGGGTTTGTTTTGGTTTAGTTTTATCTGTTTCTTTGCTTTCTTTGTTTATATTCCACATATGAGGGAAATCATCTGGTACTTGTCTTTCTCCTTCTCACTTATTTTGCTTAACATAGTCTTCCCTGGTCCCAACCATGCTGTTGCAATTGGCAAGACTTCATCTTTTTTTAATATAGCTGAGTAGTATTCCACTGCATATAGATACCACAGTTTAACCCACTCACCTGTCCTTGTTGCTCAGTTGTTTCTATAACTTGGCTGATGTAAATAGTGCTACAATGAACATAGGAGTGCACATATGCTTTCTGCTTAGTGTTTTTGCATTCTTTGGATAAGTACCTGGATTTTATGGTAGTTTTTTTTTCAATGTTTTGAGAAATCTTCACAATGTTCCAGAGGGAATGGATCAGTCTACATTCCTACTAAAAGTGTCCAAAGGTTTCTTTTCCTCCACATCCTCTGTTTTTTGTGATGTGGGCCATTCTCACCAGTGTAGGTGGTATCTTATTTATTTTTATGAATAAATACAAGAAAGTTTAATTTTCCTCTCATCTTAAAGTAATAAAATCCCTTGAGAAATATGATCCCTGAAATTTTGCTTCCTACAAAATTTCTGTGTGACTTTTCTTCATTTAGGTGGTTTGTTTCTCATGCTTCTAAATGAGCATACGTACATATGCTGTATTCCGGGAAACAGCTCAACATGTCTTATCTACTGGCATAAGACTGATACTAAAACAAAATGACTTTTGTTTCCTTCCTACTGGCTTCATGTGCAAGAAATTTAGCAAAGCTGCAGTTTTCAGTAACTGGGATTGGAGTCATTTCTGAGACACACTGCCCAACTTCTAGGCCTAATGGGAAGACATAAACAGAGCCACTGAAGCACAATTATTTCCTTCACAACTACGTCATTAGCCAAGACAACAAAACAAGGTGTAAATAGTAACATTGAGATTCTTATTTGTCAAGAATTCCCAGAGGTCTCTCTGTCTGCTGGGTGCCCTGCCATCAGGATCAGGATCATAACAATTCAGCTCTGGAGAGGACCTGGCTATGGTTCTCAGCTCTAGCTCATGATTTCTTTTAAAATACTGATGCCCTCCTTCCAGGAGACATGACTAATATGGAAGATCACAATACTACACCCTAGGGTAGAGGTCAAGATCTTTCCATATTGCATATTTTAGTTACATTTCTAGAATGCAGATGAGTTGACACCCACAGAGAAAAGCAAAAGCAGGGTCACCTTTATGAATCAGTGTCTGTATCTGGAAGAGATCACCACACAAACAAGAAACTGAATCTGATAACGAGTAAGATCTGGGTTAATGGGTTGAATTGTGGTCCCCCTAAAGAATCCAGGTCCCTCGCCTGGAATTCAGAATTTGACCTTATTTGGAACAAGAGTTTATGCAGATATAATTAGCTTAAGGATCTCAAGTTGAAATCCTACTAGATTTAAGGTGGACCCTAAGTACAGTAACTAGTTTCTCTATAAGAGAAAGGAGAGGGTGATTTGATACACAGACCAACACAGGAGAGAAGAGAGAGGTAAATATTAGAGGGATGCAGTACAAGCTAAGGAGGACCAAGGATTGCCAACTACCACTACAAGCTAGGTGAGCAGCATGGGACAACTCTCCCTCAGAGCCTCCAGGAGAAATCAACACTGCCAACAGCTTGATTTTGGACTTCAAGCCTCCATAACTACAAGAGAATAATTTTTAGGTTTTCTTAGCCACCAAATGTGTGGTAATTTGTTACAGCAGCCCTAAGAAACTAAGAGGCCCTTTCACAGCTATTCTAAACCTGCTTGGATAGAGAGGAAGTACAGCTTCTCAGGTGGCTTCTCCTCTGCTTCCTTGATTTCATGATGCAAACCAGAAGTATGATCTCTGAGGCCCTATGTGCACAGTATACTTCAAAGTAAGGTGGTAGAGAACTGATTAAGCTCCACAGTACACTTGGGTTAAATAGCTAAGTATAATTAACTGCACTTTAGAAAGTACAGCAAATAAGCCCCTTGCCTAATATTATCAAAGGAATTCTTAGTAGATGATTTCAAAACACGCTCTTCTAAAAGTAAATATGACAGAAGGATAAAACACTGATGGTCAAGAGGAGTACAAGAGGAATTGGAAAACAGAAGCTTGCTAAATAAATATTCTGGAAGGCCTTATTTTCAAAAATAATATGAAACAAAAACTTTATAAAATGTATATTGCAAATTTTCCTTTGAAAGACAATTTTTTTATTTTTTATTATTATTATTTTTTACTTTTTAGGTCCACCAGTTTATTATAAAGAGAGCTCAGGAGCACTCAGATGGAAGAGATGCATAGTGTAAGACATGCAGTTTGCAAGCCCTCTTGAGCAGATGACCTGCCACAAATTGAAAGACAAATCTTTAAAATCCTTTGTTACTATCAATTTCTTATTAGTGTATTGTAAAACAAAAGATTCCTTCAGAAATTTTGCTGACCTGTTAGATTTGACTAGTAGGTATGCCAATGGTCTTAGAATAGACATATCCCAGCCTTATTTATAAGTGTGTTTTGATGCCAAAACAGCAAACAAGTTAATATTTAGAACAAGAGACATGGGAGCTCTGCTCCTCTGTGTCCTGGTCAGACCACATCTGGAAAAACTCATTGTTTACAACATAAATGTTTTAGGACTTTTTACATAAAAAGAACACAATGAGGGGTTGAGGGGTCAAGGTTTTCAAAAGCAGCAACTTTTGAAACTTGAGGGGTTTAAATCTGGAACAAAGAAGAATCCAAATCCTGAACACGGTTTTTACCAAATATCTGAAAGCACATAATGTGGAAGAAGAATAGATTTACTTAATACATAGAAATTAAATTTCAGCTTCATATCAAGAAAAAATTTTTAAGACAGTTGTCCAATGAGAGGGCCAAAATCTTTAACCAAGTAGTGTAACCCCTATCTGAGGGAGGATTCAAGCATAGTTACTTTGTGAGGGTGATATAGACATTAAAATTTTCTTCTAATTCTAATATTAGTCAAATCTGTGATTTTTCTCACTTAAAATTTAAATAACTTCCAAGCTTCCAGAATCTGAAGTTCTGATGCTGACTCTGCAAAATGCAAATGACTTTTAGGACCTAAATCCCCAGAATCATGTTGCCACATTGAGTGTTGATGTACCTATGGTGCTAACTTGAGCATGTAATTGTTTATGTTTAAGCAATGTTTAACAACATGCCAAAGGCAATGAAGTGTGGAGGAGAGGGAGGGGTTGCCTCATAAGCTAAAATCAGGTTGGTTGAGAAAATCAGGACTCTACAGAAAAATGCAGCTAATGTAGAAAGAGAAATGTGAGAGAAGATAGAGGGAGATTTCAAGGAACATTGTTTTCTTTCTATTACTGTCCTTTTTTTTAAAAGATTTATTTATTTATGCATACAAGAACTGGGGTGTAGACCAAAGGTATGGGGCGGGGGTGGAGGGTGGTAAGAGTATTCACCGGAGACTGAACAGGCAAATTTACTGAAATATACTGAGGGGAACAGCAGACAAGACAGGAGAGGTCTGCTATGCCATGTGGGTTGCTCTCTGGTCAGGCCGGGATCTGCACTTGTACGGCAATGGCTGGCGATAGCTTGATAGTGCTGTGTCTTTAACCCCTGTGCCACCAGGGAGGCCCCAAATACCCTTTCTTATACTCTGTACTTAGTGAGAGGCAAACACTGCAAAGAGACTGCTTAGATTTTAACTTGCCTCTATTCATTCCATGCTGTGTAGCTTGTGCAAGTGACTTAACTTTTCTAAATCTGTTTACTCATCTGTAACATGGAGCTACAGTAGTATCCATATTTTGCATTACTAAAAAGATTAAATGTGATAATAAAAGCAAAGCTTTTAATCTGATGCTTAGCCAACCAAGACTGCTGCATGGTTGTGATATTCAGCACAGCAGGGACCTCTTTGAGTACCTTTATGCTACCAAGGTTTTGATGACTTCCTTTTCTATGATTAAAGGTCCCTCCCATTCAGGCTGAAAGTAAGTTAAAAGTAAGTAAAGTTGAAAAGGTGGAATTTTGAGGTGATCAAATTAAGTTGATATTTTAGGACAGGAGTGGTTATTACTCATGATCCCACATCAGCATTATTGTCTCTTCTGTTTTCCACTTGCTAAATCTGACTTTTTGTGGAAGATCTTGGCATGCATGGATAACTAACCACCTAAGTAAACAAAGTAATCTTTGTCAAAAGACTCATAATGATTCACCTGACCACCTCAGAATACTATCCTTCTCTCTGTAAACCTAACAAAATCTAAAAGATGCTACACTGTGCAAAATCTACTCTGTAAAAAGGAAAATTAACATGAAGACAGATTATATGTATAATTTTCACAATATTTTTTAGTAAAAAGATCTCACAGATGTTTTGAGTGTATGAAGATAGTCTTCAAATATGGTTACATCCACTATCTTTTAGATCACACAGAAAAAAATAGAAAATTCACTTTTACCTTACAGGGTCTAGGTAGATTAGGCTCCTAGTATCTGAGTTTCAGTATCCCTATCATTGATAATACAGACCAAATAGAATTTACAAAATAAAGATAATTTATCAAGTTTATCATTACCTGATAAATTATCATCCATTGCTTTTCTAGTAGTAGCACAGACATAAATGGAGAAGAGCGAATATTAAGCATATTAAATAACAAAGATAGCTGGCCTTCTTGCCCTGCCATAAAGTCACTCTTGATAATTCAAATACAATAATAGGAAGGTTGCTAAATAATGAGGCAGAAATTACAAAAGGAATAAACCATGTCAATGAAGGGGTAACTGCAGCAAACCATGTGGTAGCCACAGCAGCTGCAGAAAAATAGGAACACACAAAAGGAGATGCATTTAAAAGAGAAACTAATGATAGCCTTTAAAAATTATTTCAAAATGAAAGCAGGCAATTTTAAACATAATCAAGAAAGTTGAATTTCGTTTCATTTCATTGTTTATTTCCTGATTTTACACTTACATAACACTATATGCATGTATTCGTTTTATTCCTATCACACTGTATCACAAGTGGTTTTCATGGTCTTCCCCCAGTAGACCAGGAACTTCACTTCTTGAGGACTAGGATGATTCATTTTTATGAAACTAGTACTGACTCAGTGACAGATCTATTTTAAGTTTAAACAGTTGTTGTGAAATGAACTGATTTGTTGAATGGATGATTAAATGCATACTAATTTTCCAAAGCTAGCTTATAGACACCTAAAAGTTACAGGGTCAAAAAGCACAATGCAAAGTTTCTGACACAGGAATGAAACTTACAAGGCTTCATGTCATGGTGCAATTTGAACTACTTAACAAAAATAAAAATGGAATATGTAGATGGAGAAAATGAAGTTTGCACAGGTTAAAATTCTTATAACGTTTGGGCACTTGTAAAAATTATGAACCAGTGGTTTTCAACAGGGTGTAATTTTTCTCCTGAAGGGTCATTTTGCAATGTCTGGAGACATTTGGGGATGTCACAACTGGGGAGACAAGTTGTTATGGCATCTAATGGTAGAGAACAAAAGGGCTGCTGAACATGCTACGATGCACAGGACAGGCTTCTACAACAAAGAAATACATAGTCCAAAATATCCACTACTGGAATGGAGAAACTCTGCCATTTACCATATTCTCTTTAGAGAATATTCTGATTTTTTACTGCAAGATAAGATTTTATAAACACTAATTCAACATAAATCAGTAGATATAAGAGACATCAAAAAGGAAAAACATCCATTGATTATAGGAATCTGAGTCCAATTCATATTATGTAAATATAAACTAAGATAGATCATTCAGACACAGAGAAATCAGTGATAGCTTTTCGGTAGATCAAGCACAGCTAGCTCTGGTATCCCTGAGGGTATGTGTTCTCTAGGGTTATACTTTGGTGCCAAGGCTGGTTTCCAGAGGAACTCTAGGACATCAACATACTGGCTTGTAACAAATAGTAAAACTTTTTTAGTGTAACAAAGTTAAAGTAGAACCAGTGATTCTTATTAAAGATCTTTATTTTTGAACCCATCAAATAGCCTCATGAGCTATTTTCACTTTTTTTTCTGCTGTTCTATAACAATGTTGCTTTTTTTTTAATAAATCTCCAGTCTCACTTATTATTCATTTCAAATAAGGTATTATAGGTTGTTCATCATGGACACCCATACCTCCATATATTTTCCATTGCAGACACATTTCAGAAATAGTTCTTTCCGGTGGTAAAGTGCTTCTTTGATTTCTCATCATGCTTTCTAGATCCCTGGTGGTTATAATTAGAAGAGATTCTAGTTCAACTCTACCACATAATCTTTATGTCACCACCAAGTTTTCCCTTTTCTATTCCTATCTTCATATCTTTTAATTTCTTTTAAAAATTATGTTTTTGGTAAAAGGTAAAATAAATAGCACTGAAACATATAAAGTAAAAAGTAAATGTTCTTTTCCTTGCCAATCCCTCTTAACACACCCCAAATATAACTACAGCTATAACATCTTTTTGGATGTTCTTATAGAAATTTTCTATGTACATGTAAGAAACTGTGAGGGGGTTTTGTGTGTGTGTGTGCATGCTTAGACTTGCATTTTTTAATTTTTAAGTTATGCTGATCAAATTAATAACCATTCCATATAATTATTCCAAAGAATTCTTATCATTCCATTTTATGACTGTAAATTAAACTATTTACCAATTCCATATTAATGTGTTTTGAGGTTATTTTTAATTTTTTGCTAATGTAAAATGTGTCCTCCTTTAAATTTACTTCCAGTGCCTCAAAGACTTAACAAAACAATAACAGTTGCTCACAAGAGATTTTTTCAAAAAGTACTGGCTGATAGGTTTACCTAAGTGGGTGGTGATTCAGAGTTTAATGCTGGTTTGAGGAAATTGTTACTCTCCCATGGTTCCTGTTCCTTGTTTTCTTCCAAATTTCCTTTTATTCCTTGAATCTGTCACTCATTTTGAAATTATTTTTTGCATTTTTACTCCTTTTTTTCCTTATTCTACAATTGGGGCCATAAAATCCTTTTTAATCAAAATTTTTGTATGCTTCAGATCATTTGCCACCATGAATTTTAGAGTTGTTTATGGTAAATAACAGCATTCTAAGGGCCTCCCGTGGTGGCGCAGCGGTTGAGCGCTGGGCAGCCTCTGCAGCGCCGGTTCCATCCCTGGCCACTGGAGAGGGTCCCACATGGCGCGGCAGACCTCTCCTGCCGCGCCCGCTGCTCCCCGCCCGCTGCTCCCCTCAGCAGTGTATTTCGTCATTCTGACTGTTCTGCTCCCCCCTTTGGCTCTGGTGAATTCTGTCACCCTCCCGTGCTTCTGACTGTACCCAGTGCTTGTAAAAATAAATAAATTAATTAAAAAAAATAACAGCATTCTATTACATACTCATATTCATTATTTGCACTAATTGACCAGTATCCACTTCTTTCTTTACTGTTAATATCCCACATTTCAAGTATATCATTGTTTATGTTACATTGAAGAACATCTGGAAAATCAATGTTGCAAAAGTTAAAATAGATAAAAGCACTGATAACACATTGTCACTCTGGTGAGATGAGATCATGAAAAGAGTACTGATATTTGAATCAAGTCTGCACCGTCCATCAGATTATATATACTTTTTCTCATTATCAGAAAATGCATTACTATATCCAAACATGAAACTTCTAAGACAAACCATATTCTTTGGCTCCTCTGTTACTCAAAAATTACAAGTTGACTCTAATTATATCCATATGTCAACACATATATGTATATACATAATAAAGAAAAGCAAACATCAGTTCCCATTGATAAATATTTAAGTGCGCTGAAAAGACCAAAACTGTCACTATTACTATTATCATTATCACTGTTATTATTGCCTTAGTTATTTATGTACAAACCTGGAGAGATAATTTCCTTGGGTGTCAGAACAGTCAGGTAGGAAATGTTAACCAGTAAAAAAAATGATAGTCACCAGAGGTAATGTAGTAAATATGCATTTTGAAATTATCTTTCTGGGGTCTTTCATCTCCCCTATAAGACGTAAAAGAGCAAAATCACAATGGGTAACAATTATTTTCAAATTTCTGTTTCAAATCTCTCCCTATATCAATATTGGACTGAATTGTCCCTATCCCTATCCCTAGCTATAAGACACAGACATACACATGTACACAAACACCCACAGCAGGCAACAGTTACATACCTAACCTTTCTGAGTCCAGTGGTAAATGAATAAAGGGGAAATTTCTTCAATTTGCCTATAAATAGCAAAATTTCTGAAGATATTAGAATGAAATGAAAGCCGTGTCCACATAAACTATATGTTTTGGAGCCTAACTATGTCTTCAGTCTCATCTATTACGGAAAAGATACTGAGTTTAGGTAATGGGATACAATGGTGAACAAATGCAGACATGAAATTTGATGTCAAGAAGTAGAGCTATATATTAATTAAATACTCATATAAATGGAAGGTAATAGTGACTGTGATAAATGTGCATATGAAAAGCGATAAAGTGCTGTAAGATCACCATGAAAACATGATAATCCTCTTGGCCAATCTGTGTCATAGGTTCTCTGGTCTTTGTTGCATCATCAAAAATGCAATATCCCCTATTGCCATTGGAACCATTCTCTTATATAGAAGGCTCTTTCATTTCCCATTTGCCTGGTTAACCTTTTCACTTAAAATTTCAGCAAAACCATCGCTTCTAGAAAAGAAAGAAAGGAAACTTTCCTTGACTAGTAAAATTGCAGTTATACATTCTCACAGCACACATGAAAAGAGTAAAAGTGTCAGTCATAAATTTGCACTCCTTAAAGGCATTTTACATTCCTTTTATGTCAATAGTAAGTGCAAAAATAAACAGAGGTGGGGCCTCCTTAGTGGTGCATGGGGTTAAGCACCGCACTATGAAGCAATCCGCAGCCTCTACAGCACGAGTTCCATCCCCTGCCAGCCAGGGACTAAGGCACATGGAGAAGCAACCTACAGACCTCTCCTGTCTCGCCTGCGGCTCCCCTCAGCAGTGCTTCAGTCAGTCTGTTCTGTTCCCCGCTCTGTCTATGGTGAATCCTCTCACCCCCCACATCTCTGGCCTGTAGCCCCCAGCCCTTTTTTTTTTTTTTTTTAAGATTTATTTATTTATTTATACAAGCACTGGGTACAGTCAGAAGCTCGGGAGGGTGAGAGAATTCACCAGAGCCAGAGCGGGGAGCAGAACAGGCAGACTGACGAAATACACTACTGAGGAGAGCAGCGGGCAGCAGGAGAGGTCTGTCGCACCACGCGGGACCCTCACCGTCGCCGGGGATGGAACCGGCGCTGCAGAGGCTGCGGGCAGCTTCACAGCCCAGTGCTCAACTGCTGCGCCACCAGGGGAGGCCCTGTACCCCAGCTCTTGTGCTAGATATTTCCAAATTCCTATTACTCTTGAAAATTTTTTGCTCAGGACTTCATTTAAATACGTTATTCTTCCAGTAAGTTCCTTTTTTATTATTTAAGCTAATGTATGGGTTTCGGTTACTTGAAGCCAAAGCTATGTGACTAATATATAGCTGTCATTTGACAAACATCAAATTTCTTCCATCCTTATCTGTCCAGGGGTTGAATGCAATAACCATAGTATACACTAATATAACTTAATTATATAGCTAATATAATTAAGCACTTAGAGAATAAAGAAATGTAGGTGAATATAGAAAGCTCTCAGTTAAATGCTGCTTGAGTCACTTGCTGTCGTAGGCTTTTGAACAATGTGTTGACTTTCAAGGTTTCTATTTCCTTACCTGCATATAAGGGGAAATGGAAAATATAGAGAGAATAAAAACCTAATCAAGTGCTTAGCACTAAATAAGTTATTAATGACTATGATTATTAGTTAAAGCTTTTGAAGTAGTAAAAGGGTAAATTTTAGTATTATCTATATTTTCATCTGGGCCTTTTACCATTCTTATTATGTATCAGATGTATAGAAAAGAGGTGGGCAATACAATGTAAAGTTATAACATCTGAACAGGTAGTTAACACTTGATCTTAAACAAACAAACAAACAAAAAGGATATTTCTACAATATGCAAAATTAACTGCCTACAAATTTCAATTGTACAAGTAAAAGTATTACTTCAAATTTTATTGTAGTTAAAGTTTATTAATTAAATAAACAATCCAAACATACGCTGAGAGTCCTCCAGCATTGGTTATTGCCAGGTGTTTGTGAAGAGTTCTGTAATAATTTTTAGATAGTAAATTTGGTAAATCTATTTTCATCAAAGAAAAATAATCTAACAATGAAATATCTCTGGCAAGGGACAGGTTGAAAGTGACTCACATAGCAAGCAGAGATATGTCTCTTACTCCTAAAACAGAGAGACAAGGTGACTGAAAAAGAAAAACGAAGTTTTGTTCATTAAACCAGCCTCTCACATTGCAGTACTTCACTTAATCAGAAGCCACATCAAAGAGTAATCTTTCCTAATACTCTGTTCTCAATACCTCATTTTTAAGGCAAACTACTTTCCTCACACACTCAAAATTCACCAGTGACCTCTTACTTAGTCATAAGATGACTTCTGTACAGTCCTCATACTCATCAACTTTAGAAGCATTTCACATCTTGCTTGATTACATCTTTTGGGAAGGGATCATATGAAAATTTTCTTTTATAATTCTCTAAACCTGCTGTCGCTTTTTTCATTGGATCTTTTTATTCCACCAACAGCCTAAAAGTTGACATTCTCCAGTCATCTGTCTCCAGGACTATGCTATTTTGTTCTTCTCTCCTCATGTACTTTTCATGTGACCATGTCTATTATAAGGTCCATTAAATAGAAACAATTTCACAGTCACACAAGGTTATCTGCCACGTCTTACATGTGTTTCCACACTTCTGGTCTCCTCCACAGCTTCACTCATATTTTTCTACTGAATCTAATTTTTTAGATTCATCAATTAAAATCACTACCTTTTCAGTTGATAACACAACAGAAAGTGATATTATCTTCTATAGAATGTCCACAATAACTACATTGTTCCCTTATAGTTACTTATAAAATACCATCATGCCATCGTTTGCTTATAAGGCACAGAATTACAGTGACTATAAACCATAATGTCATTTTGCAGATAAGGGTGGGCGGAGGGGAGGAGTAAATTCAGAGAGGTAAAGATGTCACAGTTTCTACTAGACTGTAAGCCTATTTAGCGTAAAGACACAGTTTACTCATATTAAGGTATTGGTACAGAGCTTTAAAAATAGTGTAAAAAAAACTTTGCCAATCAAATGATTTTATAAATGTAGGTCAATTCTGGGGGTGCGGGGGCCATACATGGAGAGGTCTTAAGATTAAAGAAAAAAATTGTTGAAGAGTTAAGAATCTGCTTCATGTTTAAATGTCAAGGGTAGGAACTGGCTAAAAGGTTTAAGTCCTAAAAAATGAAATAAAATAAATGGAATTTCCTTGAGTTGGTAAGAGGGAAAGAATTCAGCTAGAGTTGAAGGAAAGAGACTGACTGAGAGACTAAAGAGAGAAAACTATTATTCTGACATTGAAAAGTACTAATTCCAGCCTCAGAGCAATCTAAGATATCTATGATTCTCTTCACTTGAAAATATTTAAGAACCTAAGTCACACCCACCCATAGCACAATCACAGACTGGCATTGGGCAGGTCATTCTTGGATTCAGTTTCATATGAGAGAGGAATAGTGTTGCAACCCCAGAATTCATGCACTAACAGAAAAGAAACTAGATCAATATGGAGGCCCCATATCTGCGGCCCCAGAAAAAAAATACTGAGAAAGAGAAAATGTTCAATAAGGTAAGCACTTTGGAATAAATGGGATGAAGGGTAAGAGTAGGTAAGAAACAAAAGACTGGCATATGTTGATCTGATTTAGAAAGTCATAGAGAAAAAACATTGACTCATTTATTTAAAGTAAAACTCAAGGGCCTCCCTGGTGGCACAGGGTCTAAGCACCGCACTATGAAGCAAGCCACAATTTCTTCAGCACGAGTTCGATCCCCGGCCAGAGAGCAACCCAAATGGCCAAGCAGACCTCTCCTCTCTCACCTGCTGGTCCCGTCAGCAGAGTATTTCAGTCAGTCTGCCTGTTCTGTTCCCCACTCTGTCTCTGGTGAATCCTCTCACCCCTCCGCCCGCATCTCTGGCCTGTACCCCAGCTCTTGTATGCTTAAATAATAAATAAATCTTTAAAAATAAAAAAAGTAAAACTCAAAATATAATAAAAGATATGTATTTCATAGTGCATGCAGTAAGTTATGGCTTCAGACTCCCCCCTCAATGGATTGTTAATTACCTGCTATAAATGTAAAACATCCTACACCTGAATATGCAAAATATCCTTGGAAATCATCTTCCATAATCTGAGAGATTATGGAAACTCAGCATCAAAAGCATTCTGCAGTCTTTCTAGGTTCTCCGTCCTCCCCTTTACCAGCAACACCACTCCACTTAGAGAAATAAAGCCAAGTATGGCCAATTTCAGCTCAGTGCTGCCCATCTGAAGCCAACTCACCTCTTTTACACCATAAGCGTTCAGAATTCCCACAAACCACAATATGGCCAGTGCCAGACATTCTTTGGCATTTCTGGAGCAGAGCAGCTGGGATAAAAGGGCTGGTTGCTGTACTCTGTGAGGAGCAGGGCTTGACTGGCAGCTATCCCTGGCCCCAGAAACAAGGTTGTCCCGAGATGGAGGAAAGACATCAAGTTGCCAAAGCATCTCTTGAGACAACAGTAGTGAGTTCTACTACATGGAAATGTTATACCTATCTCAGCTGTGCAGAGAGTGGTCATGAGGAACAATAATGCACAGGCAGCCCAAATGCATAGAGAGAACCCCACATTCATGCTAGAATACTACAATACTCCTTTGGGAGCCACAAAAATTCCCATGCCCATGATATTAATGACTAAAAAACTTGTGCCCCAGCAATATCCAAACACTCTCCTAATCTGTATCTTCTTCCCTTTATCCATTATAACTGAAGAACTTTAAATTCTTTATAAATTATAATTTCTGGATTTTTCTACCTATTTTGCTGAAAAGGATTTTCATGGATATCCTGAAATAAAACAATGTTGTCTTTTTGTTTCCACCTTCATTAAATAAAGCTTCTTTTTATTCATGATCTTACACAGGGATAGCCAAGATAGCCAGAGCTATTTGAGAAGATGTAAAGAATAAAAATTATTTGAGTCTCTTATCTAAAAACACTGCTATAGATGGGAGAGCACTGTCAAGCCTTTATCTTTTGCTCCTTCTTTTTTCCCACTTGAAAATGACAGGGGCTTGGCCTGTGAACTTTGCTTCTCAGCCTCAGGGTTCTTTACCATAAACAAGAATTATTGTTCCACTGACTCCAGTTTCTTTAGACAGCCTTGGCAAGGAACAGGGAGTCTTTCTCCAACACAGCAAAGTGTACGATTTTCTTTTCTTGGTTCACAAGTCCTCCCTTTTAGTCATATAACTGGCTTTCAGTTGCATGCAATGACCATGTGGATGGGCCCTATTGATATCTGTCTATGGACACACCTTCATCCAAATCTATCCTAGATTATCTAATAGGATCCAAGTTTTGCCTTATTACTACTTTTTTTTAAAGAGAGCGACCCCATCGTTCACCTCTGGCTGACCTTGCTGTGTGCAAATAAGAAATGAAGCTTAAAGGGGCGGAGCAACATGGCGGCGAGGAGACGCTGCGAGTAAGATCTCCCATTAAAAAAAGTTAATAGGGAGGAAAAGCGGCAGGTCCCAGTGAGAACTGGGACACGGAAGATAAACGGGTGACTCCAGCAAACTACCCGAAGAAGAAACTGGCCATAAAAGAGGACTAGAAGGGAGGGAAGCACAGAACCCTGCTCCCCTCCCCCGCCCACAGAGGCGGCACTCTCCGACCGGCAGAGAGGAGGAAAACAACAAACCAAAACGGCCAACAAGAACAAACGACGCAGCAAGCGGGACTGGGAGTGGAAAGGAACTATTGCAGCCACCACACCCCGTGAACGGGAGCTGAGGCGAACCCTGCAGGATTCGCCACGGCGGTGAGCGAACGGCTCCGGGCGCCATTAGAGAAGAACAAAGACCCCGGGAGACGTGCACACAGCCTGGGCTGCCGGTAAGCTGGAGCGGAAGGCGCACTCGGTGCGCGCTTGAAAAGCAAGTGCAGACCGGGATCGCAGCTGCCCAGGTCCCCGCGCCTGCGACCTAGGCTTGCGGGGAGACGACCTAGGCTTGCGGGGAGACGCGCGGAGGTCCTCACTGAGGTGAAGGTCCCTCCCTGAGTAAGCAGGAACCAGGCGCCCAGGCAGGGGAGCGGTGCAAAAGGCGCCATTCCCGCGCCACTGAACTGGGCTACAGCCCGCTTCCTGGAACTGAGGGCTTTGAACTGAGACCCGGGGCACGAAAATTCGGGGCGTGGGTTCTCCACGACGGTGGGGCACAAGGCAGACACAGCACCCCAAAGCTGTTGAGGTGTACCCTACCATTCCCGCTCTGTTCCCTGTCCCACGGGGTGGGAGGAGGCGAAAAACAGCCCCCCAAGGACAATAGGAGAGATCTCTGGCGCCACCTAGCGATCAGGAAAAAAAAAGTCACTAACACCCCATAAAACAGGAAATTTCTTAAGACTGCTTGAAAAGGGCAGAAGGCTTCTAGAGGACTCAGTGGCCAGCCGGGAAGTTAGCCCACCCCACGCCAGGCCCCTTCCGACCAGCAGTCTGAGCCCACAGAGGGAGCAGGCACCCACGTCCGGGGCAGACCGGGTGCGCAGAAGAGTGTGCCTGAAACCGGAGGCGCAGGGACTGCATCCCGCTTCGCCATTTGAGAACAGGGACATTTCTTCAGTAAAAACTGCCTAAAACCAGCAGAAAGCTCCCCCAGAAGACAGAGATGGCTCCTGGAAGAGCCAGAGGGGAGTGGAGAAGTTCACCCAAGATGTCAGTCAGTCCGAGCAACACAGTGTCCCAACGCATACGACAAATTAGAAAACAGACAGTAGGGAGTAGAAGAACCACACGCAACCTAACAACTCCTCAGGAAAGAAGCACGCCACAAAAAGAAAACCACTCCCCAGATTGCAACGACAGCAACTTGGAAGAACTTCTGAGCCTTCCAGAAAGAGAATTTAAAATTGCCATGATTAAAAAAGTGATAGATCAGAAGAAGGAAATTGAGTCCCTAAAGAGGGAAGTAAGAGAAATGCAGGAGATCAAAGAATTAATGGAGGAACTAAAGAACTCTGGGAAAAGCAATGAAAGCAGAATAGATGAAATGGAAGAACGAATAAGTAATCTTGAAGACACAGAAATAAAAAGAACCAAAACAGAAAAGGAAAGAGAAGTACGAAGGAAAAAGAATGAAGAAAGACTTCGGGAACTATCTGACTCCATGAGGAAAGGAAATATAAGAGTTATAGGAATTCCAGAAGGAGAGGAGAGAGATGTAGGAACAGAGAAAATATTCATGGATATAATTGAAGAGAACTTCCCAAATGCGAAGAAGGAGCTGAAAATTGATATACAAGAAGCAAGAAGAACACCAAACTTCCACGACGAAAGGAAAAACACAGCAAGACACATAATAGTAAAGCTCCCAAGAATCCAGGACAAGGAAAAAATAATGAAGCTGACAAGAGGGAAGAAAACAGATAACATTCAAAGGAAAACCAATCAGGCTGACATCAGACTTCTCTGAAGAAACACTACGGGCAAGGAGAGAGTGGAGGGACATAGTCAACAGACTCCAAGAAAACAGATGCCAACCAAGAATACTCTATCCCACAAAGCTCTCTTTCCTCCATGAAGAAAGAATATGGACCTTCCCAGACAAAGAGAAACTCCGGAATTTCATTGCGACTAAACCCCCACTCCAAAAAATACTATAAGGAATCCTAAAGCCAGAACCTCAGAGGGACGAATAACAACGAATGAAGACCAAAAAAAAAAAAAAAAGTTATTAAAAGAATAAATAAATAAAATCAAAGGAAAGACAAACATAATGGCAAATACAGATGCTAACATATCAATATTAACTCTAAATGTAAATGGACTAAACTCTTCAATAAAAAGACACAGAGTCGCAGCCTGGATTAAGAAACAAAACCCAACCTTTTGCTGTCTCCAGAAAACACATTTAGCTACAAAAGATAAAAATAGGCTCAAAGTCAAAGGATGGAAAACAATCCTACAAGCAAATGGGCCAAAAAAGAAAGCAGGAACAGCTATACTTATATCAGATAAAACAGACTTCAAACTCAAAAAAATAAAAAGAGACCCCAATGGTCACTACATTATGATTAAGGGGACAATACTTCAAGAAGAAATAACACTCATTAACATATACTCACCAAACGAAAGAGCACCAAAATATATCAGACAACTGTTGTCCTCTCTGAAAACAGACATCAGAGAAAACACATACATAGTGGGAGACTTCAACACACCACTATCAACAATGGATAGATCAACAAGACAAAAAATAAGTAAAGAAACTAAAGCTCTAAATAAGGACCTAGAGCATTTGGCTTAACAGACATCTATAGAACACTAAACCCAAAAAAAACGGAGTACACATTTTTCTCAAGCGCACACGGATCATTCTCCAGGATCGATCACATACTGGGGCACAAGACAAACATCAACAGATACACCAAGATTGAAATTATACCAACCATCTTTCTGACCACGAAGGCATCAAACTAGAAATAAATCATAAAAAGAAGGCAAGGAACTATCCTACCTCATGGAGATTAAAAGCCACACTACTGGAAGACCACTGGACTAATGAGGAGATCAAAGAAGAAATTAAAAAATTCTTTGAATTGAATGACAAGGAGGACACCAATATCCTAAATGTATGGGATGCAGCAAAAGCAGTAATAAGAGGAAAATATATAGCAATAGAAGCTCACATCAAAAAACAAGAAAGAACTCAAAGAAACAACCTAATCTCGAAGCTCAAAGATCTAGAAAAAGAACAACAAAAAAACCCCAAAACCAGTAGAAGAAAAGAAATAATAAAATCCAAAGCAGAAATAAATGAAATTGAAACTAAAAAAACAATTCAAAAGATCAATGAAACCAAGAGCTGGTTCTTTGAAAAAATAAATAAAATAGACAAACCCTAGCCAGGCTCACAAAGGAAAAAGGGAGAAAGCACAAATACACAGGATCATAAATGAAAGAGGAGAAATCACAACGGACACAGCAGAAATCAAAAGAATAATCAGTAACTACTATGAACAGTTATATGGAAACAAGTTCAACAATCTAGAGGAGATGGACAAATTCCTACAACTCTACAATCACCCAAAGCTAGATAAAGAAGAAATAGAACACCTAAACAGACAAATTACAAGCAGCGAAATTGAAATGGTAATTAAAAACCTCCCCAAAAACAAAAGCCCAGGACCTGATGGATTTACAAATGAATTCTACCAAACATTCAGAGACAAATTAGTGCCTATCCTTCACAAACTCTTCCAAAAAATTGAGAAGGAAGGGACAATACCAAACACGTTCTATGAAGCCAATATTACACTAATACCAAAACCGAATAAGGACAACACAAAAAAGGAAACATAGGCCAATCTCCCTAATGAACACTGATGCAAAAATCCTCAATAAAATTTTAGCTATCAGAATCCAACAATGTATCCATAAGATAATTCACCACGACCAAGTTGGATTCATTCCAGGGGCACAAGGATGGTTTAACATCCGAAAATCAATCAACGTTATCCAACACATCAACAAAAAGAAATATAAAAACCATATGATAATATCAATAGATGCTGAGAAAGCTTTCGACAAAGTGCAACACCCATTCATGATAAAAGCCCTTGAAATTCTTGGGATACAAGGAACATACCTCAACATCATAAAGGCCATCTATGACAAGCCAACAGCCAGTATCATTCTCAATGTGAAAAGCTGAAAGCAATTCCATTAAGATCTGGAACAAGACAAGGATGTCCACT